GAGAGAGAGAGAGAGAGAGAGAGAGAGAGAGAGAGAGAGAGAGAGAGAGAGAGAGAGAGAGAGAGAGAGAGAGAGAGAGAGAGAGATTTATTGTGCCATCTTTCTTCCACATTGACTGATTGAATCAGGCAAGCGGGGGAAATGTATGGTAGCAACTGCTGCACCAGGTCAAGGACATCCGGTCGGGAACTACCGGAGGGTCCGTCGGAAGGTCGCCGAGACTCCCCGAGAGAGAGAATGTCAAAATCATAAGATGCATGCCGTGAGAAGTTTCGGAGTCTTTGACTTTCGACATTTCCGTACTTGATCTGGACAGATATCATGATGGTCTAAACATATTCGTTTCCCGCTGCCCGAATATGTTGAATATTGATTTGTCATTCGATTTACTCTTTGCTCTAGTCGTAGGGAAATGATGGGTGCCTCAGAATGACGGGGTGTGATTGTGTATTCTTTTTCCTCGCTTTATGCTTGTCATCTTTATGCAGGGACAAAATGCTAATCTTCTCTGTATCGTTCCAATTTAGCAGATGAGGTCGTATGACCTGCTTACGTAAAACCCGCAGGAAGTCCAAAAAAAACGGAAAAAAAAAAAGAGAAGGGAAAAAAAAAGAAAGACAGGGCAGGGAAAAAAAAGAAAAGGCTCAGCTTATTAAATAATAAAGGGATAATTGGTGGAAATTGCCACCCGGAGAAAAAACAGGCCAGTACTATGTGCCCGGGGAAAGCGATGCGGGGGTATTTTTCATCCCATGTCGGGCTGATAGGCCAGTAGGGCCCAAGGAAAACTGCCTCCGGTAGGGCCCCACGTGGATGGAAATACCCCCCGGTCGTTTTTTGGGGGAAAACGATGGGGGGCATTTTCATCCCATGTCGGGCTGGTAGGCCGGTAGGGGCCCAAGAAAAACTGCCTCAGGTAGGGCCCGACGTGGGATGAAAATACCCCCTGTTCGTCTTCCCTGGGCGGGCCGGTTTTTTTCAGGCACCCAAACAGGTTTCCACGTGGGCGCTTTCCACCAATTATCCCAATAATAAATATTGCGTTTTTTGTGAGCAATGAATTATGTATGTTGCTTGGATACTCAGAGCATCATGGCGTGTGAAGAGTAGATTGCTCTTATCATCCTGTCGTTGATTTCCGTGGTTAGCGCTTCCGCTGGCAGCCACAAAAGTGGAGCCAATGGTAGAGGCTCATTCACGTCGTCTATTTTTGTGCAGTTCATCGTATTGAAATCACACTTCTGATTATTCAACTTGTCATGTATGCAAACAGCGAAACAGCAAATTGGCGACAGGCGCCCACTCAGTACTCAAGATATCGTATCCACATAAGAGTTCTCTTCAAACTGGCTATGGCGACTGAGCGCCCA